CCTTGCCTCGCCTCCTGAAGCCGACCACGGTGTCTGCCGAGCGTTCGGAGCAGCGCCAGGTCGGTGCGGCGGGAAGAGGCCCGAACACCCGACCGCGGGGAGCTGGGAAGCGACGGGAGAGCCCAATGCCCAGGATCCAGAGGCTGGGAGCAGCGGGGCAGCCCCGCAGCCCCGACTCCGCGTGCACTAGGAGCGCGGCTGCCAAGCGGGTCTTTGGAACCGAAACCCAGAGCAGCGGGACTGGGGGTGGGAGGACTGCTGGGCGTTTTTCCCAGTCATTCAGCCCGACTGACCAATGAGCACCTCTCCCCGAGTGCGCTGAGCCAATAAGAAGCAGGAAGTCTTGTGAGTGACATGGAGGGAAGGCGGGAGAAAGGGAGCCCGGGAGTGAAGTTAAAGCTAAATTTCGTAATCTATAAAGAAGTTCCGGGGGGGCGCTTTTGGCTTCCAATTAGGAATAATACTGGCTTCGTAGCAAGTACCGAGGAGGAGGATTTTAAAACCAGCTCTCTCGTCCCAAAGCCAGCATCCTCCTCCTTCTGCCACGCACCCCCGCCCCCATTCATGAGCAAGAAAAAGGAGTCAGGGAGTGCTCGGCTCCTCTCCGATAGTGGGAAGCGGAGAGACCGGCAGAGTTGCTCAGTTGAACCGCAGGCAGGAGTGAAATTAAGAGGTGGGCACCTCCGCACCCTTTGCAGCCCGCGAGGACGGAAGGTAGGTGGAGCAGAAGCGGCTCTTCGCGGGCCTGGCGAGGCTGGGGGTGGGACGGACACCTTCGTCCCCGGCGCCCGAGAGGGAGCTGTCGCGAGTGCCACCTGTTAACCTGCATTGTCCAGTCGCGTGTCCCTGCCCCTACTGGGCAGGGGAGCCTGGGTCGCCTCGGAGGTCCCGAGGGGCTTGGTGTTTAAGCGCCACTTTTTGAGGACCTGCTCAGACTTCAGACCCTGTCAGGGAGGTAGCCAGACTCCAGACTGCCAGGCGCCCGCGGGGTTGTGGAGGAATTCGGGTTTGCGGGACCTGCTCCCGACCAGGACGCCGCAGGCGGGGACCGGTGGTTCTCCTGAGGGTCCTCAAAAATTTGCGCTTTGTTGTTTGGGCAACTTCCCAGGTTGACTGAAGAATGTGGCCAGCGCGGGTGAGGGAATGTGAACATTATTGGGGCGGGGGGTCGGTCCCACTGCTGATTTCTCCATCTCTCAGAAAACAAACCCTCACCGACGCGCCTCTCGGGCAGTTTTCGGAACTGGGGAGAGGGTGTGAGAAAAGTCGGAACCGCAGGTTTCTTATGCTCTGATGCTGTTGCCTTCGCAGGGGTCTGAAAGAATTATCCGGGATTCCTGTCCCCAGACCCGCTTGGGGACTCCTTAAATGCCAGGAAACCGAAGAGCAAGCGTTGAGAATTATGTCGATTTTCCAAGGAACCGGGTTTGCAGTACGGAATAGAAGAAAACCCTGGCTCCTAAGGGCTTCTGCCAGCATTTGATTTCCAGAGACCTCCAGGATTGCCCCCATCGCCGTGGATGAGCAAATTTCCTACACTTGCATCTTACATTCTCAAAGAAAATATTTTCTGTTCACTACGCTGGCTCTTTACTGTCCTCCATACACTGACCCTTGTGGAGACTTCAGCGCCTTCCTTCAAAGTGTGCGTTCACGTTTTCGTCTAGTATGGTCTCTAATTGAAAACGAATTGTTCGCTTTGGATGAATCTGTGGAGCTTACATTGTAAGAAGAAAGGGGGAAGTAGACACAATGAAAGAAAAGTCCAAAAATGCTGCTCGGACTAGGAGGGAGAAGGAAAACAGTGAATTTTATGAACTGGCTAAATTATTGCCTTTGCCCTCGGCTATCACCTCGCAGCTGGACAAAGCATCCATTATCAGACTCACCACCAGCTATCTCAAAATGAGAGTAGTGTTTCCAGAAGGTAAGTGACTTTGCTTAGACCAGTTGTCAAAGGAAGGAGAAGGAAAGGATTTGCCAGGGATGGCGCCTACTCTGTAGACTAAGGAAATACACACATACTCTTTGCAGAGGAAAGTTAGCTCCGCTATTTGACTAAGGTCCTCCTTGAACTAGAATTCCTGTTCCCTTTTCCAGACTCCCTCTGTTTCTCCATTCATACTTTCCCTTCAGTCCATCAGATGTGTTTAGTTGGGAAGGAGCCCAGCAGTGCTTTTGTCAACACTTCAGATACTGGGCTCAATTGAGACTGCTACTAATCCAAACATGACTTTCTTTTTTATGTCTCTTGTTAGAGTTGTATTCAGTGGAAGGTAAGAGCAATGTTGAATACGGCATTTTGCTAAGTGTAGATAAACCCATGTATCTGGAGCTGGCTAAGCCAGGTAATAACCTCTCTTCTATGTCTATAGTTCTGCAGATGAGGAACAGGCATATTTGTGAATATATCTCAAATTTACCCAGTCTCCTGGATGGTTACAGAAAATTTATTCTAAGCTTTCAAGGCATTTTCAGAATCTGAAACTAACTGTGAGGCTTGGTAATTTGCTACTCTGCCCTTAATATTATCTTTAAGATACTAGGCTAGTTCCAAAATATGTAAGATTGAGTTAAAATGGTTAGCTTGCTTAGAGAATATCTTCTAGGTGATAAATTGGTGATTGACTTTTTGGGGAAATTCTCTTTAGGGAAGCCTAAAAGTTAGACAAGCTGAACTGTTGAGATGATGTAAAAGCAGTATTTTGGTTATCAACATTCACTGTGTAAGAACAGAACAGCTTTCATGGAACACTGCTGTATTAAAAAATGCTACTTATACTCACTAGGAAAAGGACACTTCTTTCTTCCATTTACCCATTCTTTCCTTTGCTTGCACCTGAATAACAGATTTTTAAAAAAACTTTATAAACGTTTTTGCTAGGAAAGCGAAATTTAGAATGGTAAAGGAGAGATTAATAGACAAACAAAACCCCAGAAGAAATGATTTAAAAATGAGAACTTTTTATTTGACCCATAAAGATTTGTTGTTTACTGTAGGTGTTTGGTTTTCCTTTTCATATATATAT